ATACCAATGATCCGAACAATCAATATTGTAATGCAGCCCCGAACATACATCATCATCATCATGGTGTGAAGGGGTCTGGCGCTTCACACAAGAAGACTACGCCAGCCACAACCATACACAGACGAAGGAGGTGGGGTTAGACGAAGAAGAAGGGAAGATGGGAATGTCGTCAACACCAAGTGTTCAGCACAGGCCCAAATAGTCCCTCGTCAACATGTCTGAATCCCAATGTCGAGTCTGGATCCAATGTCGTCAAGTCTCATGTCACAACTCTCTCTCTCTCTCTCTGTAGTAGTCCGCTGATACTGAGAAGTCAGGTGGTGAGAGGGGAAGAAGAGATGGTGGACTTAGAAGAGGAAGAAGAAGAACTCTCTCTCTCTCTGTAGTAGTCCGCTGATACTGAGAAGTCAGGTGGTGAGAGGGGAAGAAGAGATGGTGGACTTAGAAGAAGAGGGAGAAGAACTCTCTCTCTCTCTCTCTCAGTCCAGTACTAACCTGTGAAGTTGGCGCCTTGATGCAAGTACCACGAAGATGGAGCTGGAGCGATGGCGCCACAGGTAAGTACCACTGGCCTCCGCCAGTACCTCTCCCAACTCTACGCTCTACCTCCTACTAGCGCCCAGCGTTGATGACTACCGCTATGGCTATGGCGCCCAGCGCCGATGACTACAGCTAGCGCTACTACTACTGCCTAGCGCTGAAGACTACTGCAGCGCTCCTCCTGAGTGCTGCGGCCGAAATCTGAAGATTACCGTCCTACTCTCCAACTGCCTACCCATTCAGTGCCTGAAGCTCCTGTGTACTATCACGGGAGCCTCCTGACTCGGGCGAGCAGTTCAGGAGGCTGCTCTTGCCAATAATGCCGAAGGGAGGCAGGGGCTGCAGCTGCAGCTCCTGCTCGTGCTAATGCCAGTAATGCCGCAGGGAGGCAGGGGCTGCAGCTGCAGCTCCTGCTCGAGCTGGCGTGGGAACAGGCCAGAAATAGCCTGTTCCGAAACCCAGTTTTCGTGCCTGAATCTTAGGGCAGGTCGAAACAAATGAGGGCCTAARAAKAGCCCAGGGCCTAAGAATAGCCCTCCGTTTCAGACTGGAAAAACTCTGGGTCTGAAAGACCCAAAAATAGGCTGAAACGGAGTAGGGCCTGCAGGCCCTCGTTTTTCAGTTTTCAGGCTGAAACGACCGGGGCCTGTAGCTCCTAAGTTTTAGGCTTTAAGGCTGAATGTCCGGGACGGGTCCTACAGGGCCCGTGTGGCTACGCAGTATGCCACAGCCCACCAGCTAAGGAGGAATGTGGTCCTCCTGAATGCCATGCAGACAAGAGGAACCTGCTTATGACCAGTTCTGCCCGTTGTTTATCCCCGCGTGCAACGAACCTTACATCCGACTGATCTGGCTGATCAAGAGGCAATTTAAGGACAGCCCCCAAGGTCCTCAGACATTATTTAACGGCACAGCCAGGACGACGATCACAGCCAGTATTCAGATGAAAACCCGCCAGAAATGATTTATAGACGATCTGGTAGACGTCTTGCATAGGACTGGTCAGCCCACGTTCCCTCTACAGCGCAGCAAGAGCTTAAAGGACAAAGCAACAAAGCATGTGTGCTCTACTTGGCATGGTGACCATGACCCGTGCTTCGACCAGGGCCCTTCAAAGGCACCGCCCTCTCCTTCCAGATGCGCCACCAGGAAGAATGTCGACTCTCAAGGTAGAGCGCTCACGACTCCTGAACCAGAAGAGGACACTCAAGTTGAACTCACTTCCTCATGGTAAGAAGAGATTGAGATGGGAACATAAGGTAAGGGAACAACGTACCTGAAGATAGCTGCCCCCAACCACAGATTTTTCACCAATCGGGCCAGACGTGCATTTTGATGACCGGTCATAGCCTCGGTACTACCCACAACGCAATGCAGTGCCACCTCAGCCAAAATGCATGCCAGCATACTCTCATCATCCCACATACACCTGTTGTCGCCACAGCCTTCCTGCCAGCCTCCCCTCTACCCGGGAGTGGCAAATCATGTCAGCGCCAATGTATCATCACTGCGTAGAAACTTCGTCAGCGCACCAAATAACAATGTCGCCAACGTCGGTAGTGGCGATCTCGAACCAGCTCCGATACCACATTGCAAGGAATATGAGCGAGAGCGATAGACAGAAATCCAAGTCGCAAAATCACGAAGAAGATCAGATAGTCATGAACCATGCAGCGAGTCCAATGCACCAATATACCGTCCAAATAAGAGCAATACAATGAACTCAAATGTCAATGTCGCCACTCTCTGGCCACACCAACACTGTATCCAATGTCGCACTTACTGTCTGGCGCCCAGCACCCAGCCTATCCTACTCAGCCTATCTAGTCTATTGACGTTCTTGCAACTGGATCACTCTGAAGTCAAAGACAAATGCAGGTGATGTCAACACCAATGCCGACCACCAGCATACACCAGGTAAGTTCTCTCTCCTTCCCTCATCACCCCTCGTCTTCCCACGGCATGCGCCTCCTACCCGAAGACCACCTTCGCCATCACCTGCCTTGTGCCCCTGCAGCCCGCCGCCCTTCCAGTGCCCATTACCTCACCTGCCTTGTGCTATGTCTGCTGTGTGCCCGCTGCCCTTGCAGCGCCCATCACCTCTGCGCCCGTGCGTGCGTCCGACCAGCAGGCCCATGCAGATGCTAACGCAGCAACGCAGCAGCGTGTCCGCATTGCCTGCCAAGGCCAGAATGCCACTGCCAGGGCCTCACACTTTCCTTTATGGAAAGTGTTCCTTTATGGAAAGTGTGTCGCTGCTGGCTGTCCTTCCCAGGCGTGTGGGGGGGCCAAGTAGCTTCAGTTGGGCCCCAAGTGTCTGCGCCCAGGCCCAGTTTCCGAAACTGGACTGGGCCTCGTGCACTTAGGCACGTTCAGGCAGCCACCCAGCCTCCAAGTGTTTGCAGCATTTTCATTGGCTCGCGGCACATGTGTGATGACAATGCTGCTTCCTCATTGGCCCGTATCCAGTCCGTGATGTGTCGGCCTCACACAGTGTGTGCCTAGGAAGAAACCGCCTGAGCCCTGGGCTCAACTGTACATAGCAGCCCGTTGCTTTTGGAAAGAGCCTGGAGGCTCACGTTGTTCTGTAACCAACTGGCATGCTGCAACTGTCTGAGTACCCACATATGGAAAACTTGTCGAGCACAGGCCTCACGTGGATATTCAGGCCCGCCTTCACTTAGGGTGGGCCCGAGGCTTGCGACCGGTAGGGGCCACAGCCCAGAACACTTGTATGTCTGATAAGGGCTCTGCGAGGCTCATTCCTCACACATGTCCGGGCAGATTCGGGTCTGGGTGCGGCGAAGCCATGCAAAAAATACAAATCCTCTTCCCAGAGGTAGTGATGTGCGTGCCCTTGACGAGAGAACAATCCCTAACCACCACAAATGGGGGTTCTCCACAAGGGATAAATCACAGTTGTGTGAGTTCCGTACTTGGATGCTACTACTGTCTGCGTCCAGGGCAGAGTGAGTGTTCCTCCTCCCACCCCGCCCCCCCCCTTGATCATTGTATTCAATGACTATTCATTCAATATTACCAGGATTTGAACTCAGTATCAGTTTACTGACAAGTATATGTGTGTACCATTCACCAGTCTTCGGAAAAAGAGAAACCGCCTGCCGCACTCGGTTGCACAGGTCAAAAAAAAAAAAAAAAAGGTTGCATGGGTCAAAAAAAAAAAAAAAAAAAAAAAAAAAAAAAAAAGTCAAGGAAAAAAAAAAAAAAAAAAAAAAAAAAAAAAGGTTGCATGGGTCGAGGGAAAAAAAAAAGGTAGCACATAATCACATTGCCATTCAGCAACGAGCTGAATTGCTTTGGGATCAAGAAAGCAAATCAATCACGTAAAAATCATGACCTTGAAATTGTCCCGTAATGTCGATGGAGTGACAGCAGCGGACATGAGTACCTGGTAAAAACTTTCCCAGTAACAAAGCATACGGACGAACAACTGGCAGTGCACACGAGCGCCAGGTAATGTCCTGCCGGACAATGCAAAAGATGCAGATGGAAAGCTGAGTGAAGTGAATGTTCATGTCTGCGAGTGTGCTATCACTTTTTTTTTCTTCACATTTTGCTCACCAGAAAAAAAATTGGGAATGCATTTCATGTAGATCAATAAAATAAATCAATACGGTAAAACAACAGGACCACCATGATGTTGAAATTGTCCCATACTGCCAATGGACTGGCAGTGGAAATTACTGCCCAGTAATAACCTGGGCAGTACAAAACACATGAATGAACAACTGGCAGTGCAAGCCAGTGCCAGGTAATGCCCTGGACAAGAAAAATCATACAAATGGAAACCCGAGAGGTCTGAATGTGCACGTGTGCATGCATGCTATCACAGTCTGAAGGTGCATTTGTGCATATGTGCTATCACAGTCTGAATGCACATGTATGCATGTGTGCTATCGCATGTTGCTCACCAGAGG